GCGAGGGCCTGTGTTCCGAGGAACAGGAGGCTGTTGAACGAATATTTTCATGGACAGACGACGATTACTCTAGCGCAGCTAGGATATGCATTAAGGAGATGTGATCGGATGTCTGATAGGTTGAAGTTAGGATTGGTGTTTATCATCGAGAGCATACTCTGGTGTCATCACAAGAAGACATCGATTGACATTTTTCATTTGGAGGTTGTTGAAAATATTGATGCCTTCAACAACTACCCATGGGGTTGGAGATGTTTTCTTGATACATTACGCGTGTTTAGGAGGGGGTTTTCAATGCCAAAGGGGGATAAGCCCGAGCGCAAGTACGATGCATATGGACTGCCGTTGGCGCTGCAGGTATATGTTTAAGTTAATGAATTACCTACACTTTTTTTATTGAATTCTATACATAATAATTGTAATTGTTTCAGATATGGGTGTACGAGACTGTCCCTATCTTGGCCAGTTGGTATGCGAGGAGAGGAGAGACACGCTATCCTCGGATGCATCACTGGCGAGCACAAGACAAGCCGCTTGCCAGACAGTTATCGGCTCTCCTCGACGATCCTGAGGTACGTATTATACAATTGCTATTTATGTTGTACGTCCTTTTACAATCTGAATACATAGTCATTAACTGTGACATATGAAACTGACAGCTTGAAGTTCTCACTGAGTTGGCACCGTCGATCGAGGAGGAGAGTCAGTTTTATATTCGCGAATTGCCTCTTCGTACTGCGCATGACGATCAGATGCCTGAGTCCAGGATGGATCGAGATAGGGTATGTCACTGTGCAGGATTTATTGAATATCGCTTCGATCTTGTAATTAAGTGCCTCACTTGTAATATTTATTTTTTCAGGAGGATCGTTCAGTATTACCTCCATTGAGGATATCACCTCCACCGACGAGGGCACGTCCAGCGAGGATGTCACCTCCGCTGAGAAGATCACGTCCAGCTACGCCAGAGGTTCAGATGCCTGAGTCTAGCGTTGATCGAGATAGAGTATGTTACATAAAAATAATTCTTCGATTGTCGTTTTATTTTATTTGTTAGGTTATTCATTTGTAATAGTTATTTTTTCAGGAGGGCCGTCCAGTATTGCCTCCTGCACCTAGTCCCCGTGTTTCGACGATTGATTTGTTCGACCTCCTGATGGAGATGAGAGGAGACATGGCAGAGTTATGGGGTAATGTTGTGACACTACGAGCTGAGCTCGGGGACATGGCACAGTTACGATATGATGTCGCGATGTTACGAGCTGGGTTAGGAGACCTCCATGCTGAGGTTGCAGCGATACGGGGTGACATAGCAGGCCTGCGTGGGACGAGCGATTATCGAGATGGAGGAGGTAGCGGAGGGACAGGTCACTATCAGGACGGAGGGGGTGACGGAGGGACTGGAGGTTATCGGGACGGAGGGGGTGACGGAGGGGTCGGTGGTTATCAGGGGGGAGTGGGTCAGATGGGGTATGTTGACTCATCGTGGCCATCAGTTGCTGCATTTGATTCATTTTTAGATGACACGATGGGGATGGAGGAGCGAGAGAGGATACCTGTGGTGGAGGGGATGCCCGCGCAGGATATACCTGAGGACGTGGAGGGGGTACCCGAGGAGGAGAGGGTACCAGAGATGGAGGTGGAGGTGGTATCGGAGGTGGGGGTGTCCGTGCAGGGGATACCCGAGGACGTCGAGGGGGCATTGGAGGTGGAGGTGGAGGTAGTACCCATGCAGGGGATACCCGGGGATGCCGAGGGGGTACCGGAGGAGGATAGGGTA